GAGGGTGGGGTGTCAACGGGTGCAAATGAAACACCTCTTTCCAAATTTGACAAACACAGTGGGGAAGTATTAGACTCGGCAGAAAAATACCTCTTCTCGAAGTCAGCTGAAATTGTTGCTAGCACAGCTAAGATTAATACAGAAAAATTTAAAGATTATGAGAATTTGATAAATCCGCCCCCCTAATCCCGGAAAATTAAGACGAAGTGAAGAGGTCATGACACGTGCCAAATTTGTATGCAATAGCCAATAGCTTCCGAGGTCATTGAAGACTCAATGAGTCACGTGGTTTTACATTCAATTCAGTCTTCATGAGCCCGCATTTTATTCAATGCACTTTGAGATATATATATTTGTGCAGGGGAATTGTGAATGACTTTAGTCACTTTGTCATTTGACGAAGTCATTCAAGACATTGTTCAATATTTTTTTATAACAATTTGTTCGATCTGAAGGTAATTTCTTTGTTTATTTCAGCGTCGTTTAGGGGCTTTATTTTTTTTGAATAATGATATAAATTTACACGAGTTGCTTTCAAATTGGCCTGGTTTATCCGTTAGCTGCCCAGGAAAGAACCTTAAAATATCATAATTGTTTCCTACTTAGAAAATGAGTAAAAGTGGGAGACAAAGGAGTGTTTAGAATTCAATGAAACGGGAACGATTTTGATAGATTACGTTCTGGTTAAAATTTGCCCACTTTTAACAAATATTAATAGTTTACGGGTATATATATATATATATATAAAATTCTATTTCAATAATTAAATAATGAACTCCCCGATACTATATAATTGAATTAAGTTGCTGAACAACTAAGTAAGTCAGGTTTTATTTCCTTGTAACGCACTAAGTTGTTAAAAGAATGCAAGCTGTGATGAATGTTGGCATTCATTTAACTGATTTCTTTGCAGTCAACTTGAATCACTAATACTCTGGCGATGTCGCAATTTAACTAGTCTCGGGGTTATGCGTATCGCAGCTCACTGTCCTCATCTCCTCCGTCTTGACCTTGGCTGGTGCACAGGTATCGAGTCCGAACCCTCAGGTTGTCTTCGTGAGCTTGTCTCTAAATGTCGCAAACTTCAGGTTCTCTCACTCGCTGCTGTTCGGTTCGTTGATTATGTGGCTTTCTACTTAAGTCGATTTCAGTAGGTAACATTTTTTCCCTCTACAGATCGGTGACACCAGCCGACGTGGATGCAATTTCTGATTTCCTGCAGGACACTTTGGTAGATTTAGATCTAATTGGCAATGCTCTTATCAACCAGGCATGCATCAATCGTCTTTTAGCTAATTGTACTAAGTTGAAGTATTTGGATATATCTCATTGTCCGTCTATATCAATTTACGAAGCGCTTTCACTCCGAGCCAACTACAATCACTGCACAATTGTTTTCAATCACCATACCTTTTTGCCCACAACGTATGATGATGAAAATTGGCAGGAAATGAATTTTGAGTTGCCTCAATTACCACCTCCTCATCAATTTCCTCCTCTGGCTTTGCCCGCACCGACAGAAGATTACGATGGCTGATTTTATTTTAAGTATCATATTCCTTTTTTGGATGATTGTAGCATCCTTTTACTTCAAATAATTTTACTTATTTTTAATTTTGTCTCAACTTTCACGGGGCATTTGGTGTTTAGATGTTAATTTTATACTAACGTCTATTTTAAATGTTTAATCGGAATGTTTAGCCGCCTTCATGTGCATCAAGAAGACGGTTCACTTTGGAAAAAGTGCAGATAATAATGACTGATAAATTTCTACTCTTTCTATTTGGATTTGTAAGAGGGTGTCGGCACTGATGTCACCAAATATTTACAATACTTTTTGGGTTTATACTAAGTGTGTGTAAGTTTGAAATCACGATGAATTTCAAATCACGTTGAATTTTCAAATACGTAATAAGACTGGGGTAGAGTATTGTTAAAGCCATGTATGTTTGTTTTACGAAGCGGAAGTATTTCCTTACCAGAGAGTACAGATTGCACGGATAAAGCTTAGGAGGTGGTTCATTATATTCAGGATCATGAACGGCCATATGCTGCTCATTTTGATTAAGACCGATTTGCCACATGACACGATAGTTATTTACCCATTAAAATCAAAAATATATTTGAATGAGTAATGGAAAATGCAAAAAATAAGTAGAGCCTGTGCGGCGGTTGCTATGCGTTCGAGAGTTACATAACTATTTTCTCGTGTCATATCCAAATAATTCATAGACTTATTAGTAATGCTAAAAATTGCCATAATTTCCACCTAACATGAGAAATTTGAACGAAAAATTGTGGAATTAAGTTTATTTTCGAATTTGATTACTTACAAGTTAGCCTTCACAGGGCTCAAGCATTTCCAACCCGTTAGACATTATTGGACGAGTGAGAATATTGAATGAATGAAAATTAATAATTTATTGTCATTTACCAATAAAATTTCAACAAAATAATATTTTAACAAAGCGACCTACTATAAATTATTTCTTTTGTTTAACATGTCCACATTAGAGGCAACAAAATAAAACTTTCCTTTGGGGTTGTACTGTATATTCAAAATGAATAAAGTAGTAGGCCTCTTTAAGCAGCCAAGTTTGGATGGTAAGTTGATTGATATTTCGCTAAGATTAAACCTTAGATTTAATGTTTGAATTGAAGTTTAATGGAAAGCAGTTGGAGCGTTTTGCGGCAAAAGCCGAACAGGAATCCAAAGCCAACCGAACTAAGTTGAAGAAGGTGCTTTTCCTTTTTCCAAATTTAATGTGTTTAATAGGCTTTAGAGGCCAGAAACGTTGATGTGGCCAAAATTCATGCCGAAAATTCCATCAGAAAACATAGAGAAGGTATTCAGTATTTGACGCTGGCTTCTCGTTTGGATGCTGTTCAAGCCCGCATTCAGACCGCCATTACAATGAAGTCAATGACAAAGGACCTTGGAAAAGTTACAAATCGCCTTAAGGCTAGCATGAGGACCATGAATCTCGAAAAAATTGAAAGCGTTATGAGCGAATTCGAAAAAACCTTCACCGATCTTGATGTACATACTTCTACGGTTGAGACATCCATGAATTCGGCTTTAGCCACATCAGCTCCTGATAATGAAATCCAGGCTCTCATCAAGCAGGTTCGTATTTTGCAGTATATACTGTGGTATTCTATATTTTTTACCAGTGCGAATACACGAAAATCGAGGTTAAAACATGATTTCAGGTATTATTTCTTAAGGGGAATCAGAGCGCATAAACTTTTACTCTCTTTCAATTTATTCAATCCTTTGGCCTTGTCTCTTACTATTTGTAATTTTTATTAGTAATGTTATACTTAGGAATATGGCATATTCATTTAGTAACACCCACCAAACTATTGTTTCTATGTGGAGTACGTCCTTCAATTAGTTGTTTCCTTAATTAACTATCATTGGACGTTAGAAATATGCTACATTATACTTTTTTAACTAATTTCGCAATTTATTTAGTATTAGAATGGTTATTTGATTTCGTTGAATTTTTAAATCACACAAAGAACTATATTTTCACATTAATTACAATCGGCTCCTCGTCATTTTTGAAATTATTTTTCTTCTCGTATATATATCGATTTGAATATCAATTATTCTTGATATTGTAATCACTTTATTATCAGGTAGTTACTTACTTTGAATCCTGGTGTGAGCATCATGTGAGTGACTGAAATGCTCTTGAGTGATTTACTTCGTTCTCGATTGTCTTGTGTTGCCGAAAACGGTTTTTAGTGTGGGTTGATTTTCTAAAAAAATTTCGCTTGAACTGCCTTATTTGGTGACATCAGGCGATGTAAACAGTTTCACTTCACCTGGATTGCTTAAGATGATTGGTTAATAAAATCCGACTTTTCCTCTTCAATCAATGGTGTAGGCTACCTATTAAACGAATTTTAAATTTTTCATCCTTTCTATAATTGCTCTTTTTCATTTAAAATGGATGAATTATTGAGGAATGAAATTCTTTGAAGGTTCAAAAAAAATTGGTTTTTCTTTTTGTGCCATTAAATCCTATTGGTTTTCGCTTTATTACCTAAACGTGCACGATCAATAGTAGGGTCAGTCAGAGATTTAAATACACCTCTATTGCCTTTCAACAGAATCTTTTCTATTCATGTAAGCTTTAAAGTAGGATCACACTTCATTGTCTACCTTTGTAGAAGTTCTCAATTCTGCTCAACTAATTGCGATTTAGTTTAAATTCTCAAAATATAAGTTTGGTCTCGATCCAGACATGCAACCATTATTTTATTGACTTGAATTGTATTCATCAATCTTCTATGGGGAGGGGGGGGGGCAATAACCATGTGATGAGGTCACATAGGTTTGATAACTATTTGCCCTCCCCTCCCCCTTCATTATGACCATTAGGAAGCACCTCATTTTTTTCTTGCATAGGTCGCGGAGGAGAATGGCTTGGAGGTCGAGGCTGCGATGTTAGGCGCCCAGGTTCCCACTGATTCCATCGCCACATCCAACAAAGAAGGCTCCGCGATAGCTGATGACGCTCTCACCCAGAGGTAAACTCCCTACCACCCCTAATTTCTCCACTACTAGGCTACTTTTAAAGAGTTCAAGCGTAGAAGAGGGTAGTGGTGTGACGGTATGTGTGAAGTGGAGCATGTTTATCCTTCTGAATTAATTCCTAGCTAATTTAATTGTTACGATTTCGACCGGGCTTTCGTGTGGCGATTAGTGATCTGAAGTCAATTGGAAGGTTTAGATTATCTTTATGTTGAAAAATTTTAAGTTGAATGCAATGTAGGCCCTCACGGTTTCTCCCTTGTATGCCTTCATCTGATGCTATGATAATTTAATTAACAGCATTGTGTGCATTTTTATTAAGCGATATCTTTGAATCATTTCAACCTCGTTCTCACGAACTTAAATTTGTGCTCAACTTTGTGTATGCAACTGAGCATTCTTATTTGCTGACATCCTTTAACGCATCGCACAAGTGAAGTTTGTCGGCTATCCTTCTGCCATAAAGCCTTTTCACTGCGCTAATAGACTTCTTCCACCAAAACTTGATTCCACCTGCATTGTCGAAAGATTTTTCCTGAATTTTTTTTTGACATTTTTATTTTCTTATCTAACATTCTCCTGTTCCTGTCGAGACCGCCACTCCAGAGTTGACTTCGAACAAGTATGTGTATTTGACCTTCTTAGAATTATTACAAATGGCAGGCTTTATGATAGTTATCATTAGCCCTTTAGCTGACTTCGGGCTTCACAGAGAGGAGGAGGAGGAGGAACATCATAGTGAGAAAAATTCGAGAGGGGGGGGGGACTGAAGAGTGATTCAAGGATGCAAAAGAGATAGACAAGCACAAAGGTAGAGAAAAGGTAAGAGAAGTACTGTGGAAGTGGTGGAATATGACATACAGTGGGATGAGGGTAGTTTGAAGTCAGAAGTCAACTGCCAGTTAATAGACTTTTTGTCGTATGAGCATA